TCAACTGATGGAATTTGAATCATAACCTCATTTGGGCTGGCAGTGCCTAGGGACACGTATGCAGATGACATGGCAGTCTGAAAAGGGTTGTATTATTCCAGGAGGGCTCACTCTTTGACCTTTGATTGCATTGACTACGCCCGCCAGACAGACAGAGAGAGACAGAGAGATAGAAAGCAAGAAATCACCCCCCAGAGGGGATAGCCATGCCACAATCCCTTCTCCTCCATTCTCCTCTCGGGATCTTGGGCATGCACGCACACGCGCCTGGCTGGAGTTCAAGCCATCGGGTCCAGGACTCGAACCACGGTCGACTACATGGGAGTCCAGCAACATAGCCATTACGCTAACTACTGGTACCTGATTTGAGTATTTCTTTCAGACTGATCTACTGCTATGGTTTGGATGATGAGTTTTCCTCTAAGGGTTCATATCCTGGAAGCTTGGTCCCCAGTGTAATGGTTTTGGGAGCTGATGAGACCTTTAAGGGGTAGAGTCTAATGGGAGGGTGACATCCAATCAACTGGGAACATGGGAGGGACAGGGATAGAAAGTGAAAAAGTTTATTTCTTCTCTCTCTCTCTCTTTTTTTTCATGTGCCCACCTTCCTCTCTGTTTTTGTTGATCATGTTGTGATGCTGGCCATGTGCTCTTGAACTTTACAGCCACTAAAATCATAAGCCAAATAAACCTCTATTGGTTTATTAAATCACCCAATCTCAGGTATTTCTGTTTAGCAACATAATATCAAATAATGATATTTAAGAATAAGACACTTGCCATCACAAAATGCATACCATTGGTTTATGTCTTCTTTCGTCTCAGTTTCAAGGATGAAATCTTTTGGTGAACAAGGATTAGAGGTCTTCTCAGGCTGAGAGAAGAAGAAACAGATATAAGAACAGAAAGCCACGATCACATTGGTAACAGGGAACGAGGACCACCTGTCAGTTACAAGGATTTTTTTGTGTTAGAACAAGATTCAGGCTGACTGAATCTGTTAGATAACAAGAGCATTTTCCCTTGCGGTTTCATTCCATTTTCAAACTACCACCTCATATGTGGTATTTTCCAGGTGAATGGTTTTCTGCTTTCAGTCAACTTATTTTAGTTGTGGTTGTGTTTGATTTGCTGGCGTTCTGGAAGAATTGCTACTGACATGAGGAATCCAATCAAGACTCTCAGTTCTTGTGAAAAAGACATTTAGAGAAAGGCAAAAATTTTAAGACTGGAATGAAATTTAGAGATCATGCAACCTCACCTCTCATCTTATAGCTCAGTGGAAGTGTTTGCTGTCGGAGGTCACACAACTAATTGAGGTGAAATTGAGAGTAAATGCAGGTAATCCTAACTCATTAACAATGATGCAAACATTTTATTCTGTAGTTTAGTTCCCTACCACTGGCCTCAATACACTGTACAAGGGCTCAAATTTTTTCTGTGTATTTTTCTTGGAAAGCATTTACAGGCAGTTTCTTGAGGTACCCAAGTAAAATTGGACAGATAATACACAAAGAAGTGTCCTAAGGTTTCTTTACACAAGAGCAAGGTCACCCTTGGGAGCAAACATCGTATCATATCATCTGATTTCATTGAACTGTGTATCCTTCCTTCCTGATTCCTCCTCTGTTCCTCTCCTTTCTTCATCTACCTTCCTCTCTTTTCTCTCATCTTCCTCCCACTCTTCCACCTTAGCTTTCTTCTCCTGACCTGTGAACTTACAATCTGATTTTTCCCTGGGTCTGCCATAGAATGGAATGTCCATGGCTTTTGTCCATGCCAACACATTTCCCCTATTTACTTTTTTCTTCATCTCTTCCCACTTCTCCCTGTGATTTTGTTTTTAAAATTGTGGGTCAATCAAAATTAATGAGTGCATTTATTTTATTTATATCAAATGCACACTGCAGCTACCACCCAGTCTCTTTTATTCCTTTTTTTTTGGTAAGAGATTTTTGCTATAGGGCATGTGTGATTTCCAGAGAGACTGACAGCTAGAAAGCAAGACATCATCCCCAAGGGGCAATGGCCATGCAGCAATCCCTTCTCCTTCATTCTCCTCTCAGAATTTTGGGCATGGATGTACAAGTGTGTTTCAAGTTTCTGTGTCCAGGACTTGAACCACGGTCAGCCATGTGGGAGCCCAGTAATGTAACCACTGTGCCATCTGCTGGTTCCTTTTTTTTTCTTTTTTTTGGGAGAGGTGCTTTTTTTTTTTTTTTTTTTTTTTTTGGG